CTTGTGCTAGGTAAGTGCTCTACCACTGAGCCACAACCCCAGCTCTTATCTGTGACATTTGAGAATTCCGAATGAAAGAGATTAATTTAGGTGACTCTTTTCCTCCTCTCTTTCCTCATAGTTTCAATATGGGTCTCTCAGAGAAATGTTCTAGAACGAGGAGCTTACCAAAGCATTACTGCAGGCCAGTTTATTTCGAAGCTCCTGGATTAGATCATCCTGCTCAGAGACCTTCTGCCAGACTTCAGACAGTCGCTTCATGGTCTCCTGGTGCTCTTGAATCATGCAGGGAGAAGGGTATAGACGCACCTTTGAGTGGTCACCCTTGTTCTCAGGCTCCTGGGATATTTGAAAACGATGAGTTAGTTTTGTTTGTAATTTGTGAGTTAACTTCCGAATTCCACGAGTGTGGAAAAGCATATGTTCATATATGGGAAGCATGGTTTCCCCAACAAAAGTAGTGCGGCCGTCACTAGTGCAGACACAGGGCCCAACGTCCATCTAGTTATAGGAAAATGTTAGCCCTCTGGGACTCAGTTCCTGTCCTTGGTGACTGTCTGTGTCACCAGACTTCTGGGTACCCTTCCAAGGATACTCTATGATATTTGTGCACACACAGGTGTGTATTTATGTAACCCCATTCGTTTCCTTACACAAATGAGTTTTCTACATACTGTTCCAAACTTTGTGTTTTTCACATCAGTATTTGTAGATCCATCTAATAATACTTTTAAAATTAATTCTAAATCAAGCAAGTAACCACGTCTATGTTATCTTTCTAAAACACTCCACCATAAAGACTGAATTTCTTTGACCATTACATCTTTTCTCCTATCTCTCTCGACTTTCCAGAGATGACAAACTGTGTGTATCCATCCAGAATTTATTTATCTATTTACCTACTATAAAATAATCTATAGAATATGGATTATGTTGGCTTTGTAAAGCACAAAGTGGATTTCTTAACTTTACAAGATATCTTAGGGATTTATCCAAGTTGGACCTAGTGCTTGTCTAATGTCTTTTAAAAAAAATTGCTTTTTTTAAAAATATATTTTTTTTAGTTGTAGATGGACACAATATCATTTATAAGGTGCTGAGGATTGAACCCAGTGCCTCACCCATGCAAGGCAAACACTTAACCACTGAGCCCAAACTCCAGGCCCTAAAAATTGTTTTTTTTTTAAAAAAATTTATTAATTTTTTTAGTTGTAGTTGGACACAACATCTTTATTTATTTATTTTTATGTGGTGCTGAGGGTCGAACCCAGGGCCTTCCTTGTACATGCTAGGTGAGCACTCTACTGCTGAGCCACAACTCCAGCCCCTTAAATTGCTTTTCTATGTATTTATCCAGTGTCTTACTGATGGCAATATAGGTTATTTCTAATATGAAACCGAAGTGGTTACTTTTGTCCATAAATCTTTGAGTACTTATTTTGGTAAATGTGTAGATTAAATCTGTAGATGTAGGACCTGCTAGTTCATATTTAAAACTTAGATGTTGAACAATGTCCTTTAAAAGAAACTGTAATAGTAGATACCCATTAATTTGTTTTCTTTCCCAGAGCTGTATTTTTTTGTTTTAAAAATATCTATCCTAGATCATCTGAAATCATGCATGAAGGTCACTACCTTCCTAGTTTTCTGTACTGATAATGGGGTGAACTAATGCACACAGGAAAAAAAAAAAGAGCAAAGAGTTCTAGTTTGCATGGTAGGTTCGTTTCCCATTAAACTTGCCTCTACCTGAGCCTTTCAGGCCAAGTTAGAAATAGTTCATGTTCATTGAGCGTGAAAGCTGCACATGAGCAAGCTGCAGAAAAGCCATTCAGAAATCTAAAATTAACCACAAATGACATTTGTGTAAATAATTTAGTGTCTAAGAGGGCAAAGGCATCAAAAACATAACAGGATAGTTAAAGAACAGGAAGAAGATATCCATAGGTTTTAATATCTTTTTAATACTTTGGGAAGGAAAATGGAAATTGATTTTAAAAGTAATAGAAGAAAAATTCTCTGAATCAAAGAAAAGTGTAGATCTTCAGATTAAAAGTCAGTTAAGTATTTTGAGGGGCTTAATGAAAGATACAACATCCTTTGCCTAAAAACCTCTCGAGTTCAAAGAGATAAAACAGATGACCTACAGACAACAGGATGACATCCCCAAACTGATCTTCAATACTGGGTGGTGGGAGACCATGCAGCACTGTCTTCAAAGACTTAGGGGAAGGTGCTTTTGAAAGTTTATCTATCCAGCCAAACTAGCCTTCAAGAACGATGTCAAAACAAACCTCATCCAGACATGAAAGTATGGAGAAAAATTTCTACTCACGATTGTTTCTGAAAGAATTAAGAAGAAATTATTACAGCAAAAGGAAAAGTACACTGAAGGATAGTACACTGCTGAGCACAATAATGTGTAAAATTTGGGTTTATTTGTGACCTTAAAGAAGTAGACATTTTGTATGTTATAGGATCAGCTCCAGAGATTTTAAATATAGGTGAAAAGCTTTTGAATTCATATTAGGATAGCAAAATTCAGACATCATATGAGATGAGAGCACAAAAATGTAAGCCAAAAAATAATCCTATTTCTAAAAATAAATGCAGAAAATAAAAATTTGACACTTTTTTTTTTAACTGGCTATTGAACTCAGGGGTACTTAACCACTGAGCCAGATCCAGACACCACAGCAAGACACATCCAGTCTTGCTGAGTTGCTTAGGGCCTAGCTAAGTTGCTGAGGCTGGCTTTGAACTCATGAGCCTCCTGCATCAGCTTCCCGAGCCACTGGGATTACAGGTGTGCACCACTACGCCCAAATTTAACATATTTAATTGTAAGTAAAGCAGTTTATTAAAATAACACATCATGAGTAGAATTTATTTCAGGGACATAGATTATTTTGTATGTTTTGAAAATCTATCAATCTGATTTCCTTCATTAAAGGATAGATGCTCATAAAACATCTGGTAAAATTCAACATTCATTTCTGATAAACATTCTTATAAGCTAGATATAGTCATACTTTTAATCTGAAAAAGGACATTAAACAAGAAGCCACAACAGGCATTAATATTAATATTATGCTTAATAGTGAAATACTAGGAACATTTCCTTTAAAGTAAGGAGGCAAGGGCTGAGGCTGTGGCTCAGTGGCAAAGTGCTTGCCTAGCATGTGTGAGGCGCTGGTTTCGATCCTCAGCACCACCTAAACAAATAAAATAAATAAATAAAAAGTTAGGCATTGTGTCCAACTACAACTAAAAAAAATTAATAGGAAAAAATAAAAAAATTAATAAAGTAAGGAGCAAAAAAAAGATACTGTGTTCTACATTGTTCTGGAAGTTCTAGTTGGTGCAGTGAGATAGAAAATAAGTTGTATAAACTTAGAAAGTAAAATCAATTTGGAAAAATCCAAGATATTCAACTAAAAACCTCATAAGAGAACTCAGTAGGGTGGCAGGCTGAGAGAGGTTTCCTACACCTCAGTAGTAATTCTTAAGATTAAATATATAAAAGTTCTTACTCATAAAACTAATGGCAACTATAACATATCTAGGAATAAACTTAGCAAGAAGTATGTGACAGCTATAAAGAAAAGTATAAAATCTTAGTGAAAGGGTACATCCGAAAATCAGAATAAAAGAACAAATATGTCACATTCCGAGGGCATGCTAATTTCCCCTAAATTAATATATAACGTGAAACTCAGTCAATGAAAGTCCAAATTTCATCCTGAAGAGATGTACAAAAGGTTAAGAAAAATTTGAAACATAGAATAATGAATGAGGACTGGCTCTAAAAGGAGCTATAAAACATGTTATTGGTTAAAGTCACTAAAAAAAACTCTTGACACCTGTAAGAATTGGAAAGTAAGAGCAAAAGAAAGGTACCCAGAAAGAGCTCTGTGTATGGAAGAATCATTATTATGAATTGGTACCCAAATCAGTGGGAAAAGTTGGGATGTCCAGCTAATGGTGTGGGGGCCATTAGAGATCCACTTAGATAAATAAAAATCAGAGACATCTAATTATATATAATGATACATATATATGATATATATATTCCAGGTGGACTAAGGATAAAAAACATAAAAAATGCAAAACTTATAAAAAGTGCTAAAAGAAAATATGAGATAGACTTTCATAATCTTGGGAGTAGAGAAGAAAACCTAGGATCTATAAAGAAGGGCTGACAGATTCAACTCTACAAAAATTATAAAACTTCTGTATGGTGAAACGTTCTACTCACAAAGTTAAATGAAAAGTTACAGATCACGGAAAAATATATTTGCAGCATCCGTGATAAAGCATTATTACCTGTACTATATTAAGAAGTCCCTATAAATCAACCCCCAAAAGACTAACAATCCAGTAAAACATGGGTTAGGGATGAAAATAAATTATTTGTAAAACAAAACTCCCTATGACCCATATGAGCCGTGGTCAATACACCCTCACATGTGGAGGTGACCGATGTGTCTCCCAGACTCCCTTTGGCAGTGAAGAACTTGCTGGCCCAGCAGCTGCCAAGGGCTGCTGCCAGGAATCAGCCCTTTCTGGGGATTGCCTGGGCAGAGGAAAACCGCTTGTTCAAGGTCACACCTCTCCCAGGGGCAGCCCACATCCAATAATCCGTCAACACGGAGGTACAAAGGCCAGGTCCCTTTTGCTGAGCTTAAGACTGCTCTGGAGTTGCATCCAGTCCCATCCCACCATGGGGTCGGCTGAGCATTTGTTGAGACAACACAGCCGACTTCTCTGGCCATCTCTCTTCCTTCCCCTTCCTCTCATGGGGGTTAATAACACCAGCTGTCCCTAAATGTCCTGCATGCTCATCTGTCTTGGAGTCTCCTCTGTGACTATTAGAACTAATGAAATGAAAATTATCTAATAAATAATAAGAAAATTCCCTCCTTCACTGCCCCATTCCTTAGTTTAGCACAACTTCAAAAGACTGAAAACAGTGTGAGAAGGTGCGGAGGGGAAAAAAACTCTTTTAGTTATTGTTGACAAAAGCATAAACTGGTAACATCTTTTTGGTATATAATTTATAAGTATTTTTTAAACATTAAAAATAAGCATATCCCGTGACCCAGCAACCATGCTTCGGAAATTACCCTGCAGAAATGTTTATTACAACTTGTTTGTAACAGAAAATAAAAAAAGTCAATAGATGGTACATCTAGAGGATACAAGTAGTAATGAAAATTATTAAGATATGCATTTTAAAAGCTAGTTATGAAATCACATGTATAATGCCCATTTATGTAGAAAGAGAGCCCTGGCCACTTATATATGTAACTACATCACGGAAGCCCTGGGGTTCCCAGCGCAGTGACCGAAGGGCAAGGCAGGCTGACGGCAGACTTTCACATTTAACCTCCATACTTTGGTCTAGAGAGTCTACACCGTTACTTGTGAAATTTAAAAAAATAATGAGAAAAGAAACAAGCCAGGTCCTTTGGTTCTTCCTCCTTACATTTCCTGGCCTTCTCCTGTTTGGTCCTGAAGTCATGGTGGCAGGAGTCCTGGGACCTGGAAGAGCTCACTACCAGACCTCCATGAGGACATGGAAGATTGGGGAGCTCACTGGCCATTCTCTTTCTGCTTTATTGGAAGTGGTGGCTCTTGATAGTCATCAGGGAACCCCCAAAGAGCTAAGGAGTAACCTTAAAGAAAATATGAAACCTGGAAATTAAAAAGCTGAAGGCTGCAAAATTCAAGGGCAGGAGCTGACCCCCTGGTCAAGGGTTTGGATTTCTGGTGAAGGACCATTGAAGGGAACCATGCGGGGGCCGATCTGCCTGCTGGGCTGAGGAGCCTGGTGTGCGTCCTACCTGACTGATGAGTCCGCTGAGCTCGCCTTCCAGCATCTTCACTTGGCACTCCAGCAACTCGATGTTGCTCAGGGAAGTCTGGTATTTATCCCTGTAGAGGTTCAGGCTCCTTTCGAGGGAGATGATCTTGTCCCCGGCCAAGGCAAGCTGCTCCTGTGCCAAATGGAGCTTCTCCCCTGCGTTCTCATGATTTCCCATTTCCTCCTCATAGAGAATCACCTGTTGGTGGAGGAACAAAACCACACAGAACCCGTGAAGCATCTAACCAGTAAAGGGCACGGTTGTCAGACCCTAGGCAAAGCATTCCCAAGTCTGAACTGGAAACCTGGATGAAGGGGATAGGTGCACTGCAGATCTAAAAGCCATGTGTGACATCAGGATGGGGATGATTAGAAACAGAACCAGGGACCATGCCTATTGCCCCCTCTGGCTGGCATGTGGTAAGAACACAATAAATACTTGTTGATGAGCAGGAATGGATTTGTACTGCTCCATTTTTTTTTTTTTTAAAAAGAGCTTGAAATTCCAGTGTTTTTTTTTCCCCCTAGGAATTCTCTAGAGATCTAATTTGGAAAATGTAGAGTCCCTCATGTACGCTGGACCACAACAGTAAAGTTCCCAAGAGATGGTGGGGAAGCACAAACCAAAGATCCCCTGAGATTTTCATGATCCTGATTTAGATTCCTTTTCTTCCAAATCAATCAATTAATCATCCATCTGACAGATATTTATTGAATGCTCATAAGCACTATTAGGTGCAGAGGGGGTATATGCATACGAGAGAGACTCATTTCTCAAAGAGTTAAAAACTCTCGTAACCTTGGGGGGGATAGAATTTAAAGTTGGCAAACAACTGTATACAGTTGATGTGCTAAATTGTATGGTTGGAACTACAGGTCTTCAAGGAGTGAAGAGAAGAGGAATCATCATGGAAGACTTCATATTGGTTCCAGTAGTCCAATGCTGATAGAACACATTCCATAAATGTAAGCTCATTACACTCATGGCCTTCCTGGACTTATTTAACTTGCCTCTCTATGTGCCTCCTGGAACTACCTCCTGAACTAACTACGTACATGTATTCATATCCTGTCTTAGGGTTCAACTGTTGGCCGAACCCAACCCTAGGCAGCAGTCTGATGCTTCTGTGTAACAAAGCACTGGGGGAACGTGGCAGAACACCTCAAATAAATTTTCCAATACTAAGCCAGGCGCGGTGGTGCATGCCTGTATAATCCCCATGGCTCGGGAGGCTGAGACAGGAGAATTGCGAGTTCAAAGCCAGCCTCAGCAATGGCGAGGCACTTAGCAACTCAGTGAGACCTTGTTTCTAAATGACATACAAAATAGGGCTGGGGATGTGGCTCAGTGGTCAAGTGACCCTCAGTTCAATCCTGGGTACCAAAAAAAATTTTTTTTTCCAATACTTTCTCAATGTGGGGTCTGCGGCCGTGTCCATTACCTGCCAAATCCCATATCTACCCTTTCCTCCTCCTCTTTAGTAGCAGAACCTTGACTTCATTGGTGTAGCAATATCCCTCTAAAAGCTCCACTTTTCCCAGGCTTCCCAAGAACTAGCTATAGCTAATTCTGTGACTAATTCTGGCCAATGATACATGAATGAAAGTGTTGTGCAGGGTTTCTGGAAAGTGTCCTTAAAAAGGAGTGTGCCTTTCTTTCCATCCTCCCGTTCCTCTCGATTATGTGGAACAGGGATGTGATGGTTGGAACTCCACCAACCCCTGCAGGTGACCTAGACAATGGAAGCTATGTGGAACCAGCCAATTTTAACACAGTTCCGCTTTAGCTTTATGAAACCATGGTTTATGCTCAGAGTCTTTGTCCCAAATTGTATGTTGTAGAATAACTCTTCTTTGTCCTTCCCTTCTCAATTCTTTTCAGCAAATTCTCACAGTAATCCCTTTAAAAAAATTCTGTATCTCCAAGGTCCCTCACAAACCCCTGGAGATGGTCCTTAAGCAACAACACCATCTAAAACACTCATTGGGATTTTCCTTGGATCTGGAGGAAGAAAATGCCAAGGGGGAAACCCCCGGATATAAGAGTTTGCCCGTCCATTACACAAAACCATGATTCTATTGCTGTGAGTGCTACTGGCTTTAGTTTTGCTGCTTTTGAATTGAGTCTTGGGATTCTACAGGGATGCTATTCTTTGGTTGGAAAGGTATTGCCCTGGAACATGAATATAAATGAATGTCCAGAATATACTTAAGCTGAATTTATAGGATCTAAAACTCCATTCCCCCCAAAATGATCTGGCACTTTCAATGATGGAATCAGACCCAGTGTCTGGTTCTCTTATCAACTGTGTAGGCACCAGGAACTAATAATCATCAGAACCTGATTTTTTCTAAAAATAGTTGATATTATGGGTCTCATGTCTTTATTTTTCTTTAATAGCCCTTGGCGACCTAGACTCTTTTTGCATTTAAATTGTGATGGTCACGGAAAGAAGAAGATGGGCTCACCCACCAACAGATGCGCCATGCATGCTTGCATCCCACAGACCCACATGTGTTAGCCCTGGAGCTCTCATGTACTTATGCCATCCTGTTTAGTTTCCTTCTGCTCAGCTTCAGGAAGATCAAGAATTAAAGAGGGAAAGTTTGTAAAACCTGCCTGAGATGTTGCAAAGCTCCCTGCTGTAATCCCCGTGTTTGCTTTCTAGCAGGGGTGGCCTGATTTCTGCATCTCCATAGTTAAGCTCACTGTACCTCATCTTCTTTCAGCTTGCAGTGATGGTGCAGTATAACCAGGTCAGATGTCTGCTTCTCCAAGATGGACTGGTACTGCAGGAGGGAGCAGTAGGAAGTCTGTAATTCATCGGTGCGAAACTCTAGTTCTCGCTGAAGGGCCAGCAGTTTTTTCTTCAGTTGCTGGAGTTGCCTCAGATGACACTCTTTCGCTGACCCGAACTCCATCAGGGAGTCCTCGAATGCTAACACCTGGGCTTGCTGCTTCTTCTGCCGTACAGAGAGAAAAGGCTTTAGCTTGTCACTAAGGATGCAGGTTTTTCATCTGTTTAATTGTTCCCCTACACCTATCTACCCTTTCATCTTTTCATCCGCAGAGAACTTACTAAACATTTCATTCTGTTCACAGGGAGATATGGCATTTCGTATTCCCACTCTGTAAGAAGGATTCAAAAGAAAGAATCAAGAGATGGTTCTTACCTGTCAGAAAGCTTCTTGTGAGGTCAAGAAAAAACACAAATATGTAAAGGATCTAGATTTTATGTAATAACATGCTAATGTTTTGACCTCACATATTAAGACAAGATAATGGACTTGGAAGAAAATCGATTTTTGGGTCATGGTTCTTGGACCAAATTTGGAATACCTGGGTAAAGGAATACTGAAAGGAGTCCAGGGTAAGTTCTTAGGGGTTCTGGAATACTGGAGAATGGGGTGCAGAGAGAGGGAGATATTGTCCACATGTAGGCACTGCCTCTGTCTCTACCTCCTGAAGGCAGGTGTGACCTTGGAGAATCTGAGTGTGCATGTGGGTGGGGTGATTTCCATCTGCCAATCCACAACCTACCTGAAATGCTACTAGATTCACCCTGTTACCATCACATAACATCATTTTATGACAAGTTAATCATTTTTTTTTTTTTTTTAGAGATTAGAAATTTATTAAAGGACAGAAGAAAAGACTTCTCCCGGAGGAAGAAGGGGACCCAGGAGGTGGAATCCATGACAAGTTAATCATAATAGTCCATCATTGTTAAGAAATACAGTTCAATGATTTGTAATCAATTTATAGAGTTATTCAGCTATCATTACAATTCTAGTTTTAGAACATTTCCATCATCCCCCAAATTCTCTCCTGCCCATTTGTGGTCACTACTGTCTCTACCCCCACCTCTAGGAAGCCACTGATCTGCTTTCTGCATCTATGGATTTGCCTTTTCTAGGTGTTTCATACATGGAATTGTATAATACCTCATGTTTTGTATCCGGTTTCTTTCACTTGGTATAAGTTTTTGAGGCTCACCAGTTTGCAGCAAGAATCAGTATTTAGTTCCTTTTCATGGTGGATAAAAATATCCACCCATTGGTGGGTATCTGAATTGTTTCAGTTTTAGCTATTTCGAATAATGCCACTATGAACATAAACATATTAGCCTCTGTGTGGATATAATGTTTTTATTTAATTAATTTTTAAAATTTAATTAAGTATTTTATGGTACATTTACTATATCAAGTACTGTACTAAGTAATGGAGATTAAGTAGTCTTTGAAACAGACAAGATACCTGCCTTCATGGAGTTTGCATGTAATAGGAAGAGAAACAAGATAAACCAGTAAATCATGGAGTGTATTAGGAGGAAAAAGTGCCATAGAGAAGAGTAAAGCAGGGAGAAAGATGAGGACTGTCAGGAGGGAGGGGTTTGTATCATTTTTATGGAGGACTACATTGAGAAGGTGATATTTGAGCCTAAACTTGAAAGAGGCAGGAGATGGAGCCTGGTAGAAATCTGTCACAGGAATACGAGAGAGAGAGAGAGAGAGAGAGAGAGAGAGAGAGAGAGAGAGAGAGAGAGAGAATAGCAAGTACAAAGACAAGAAAGTGGGAATGTGCCTGGTGGCATTTGAGGATCCCCGGGGGGGGGGGTGCTAGCCACTCTGTTCTTCTTGGAGTAGAGAAAGTAAAGGGGACAAGGGGGACCAGATGAAGGGAGAAAGACAAAGGAGGTGAGGTCCTTCAGGGTCTTATGGACCATTATAAAGACTCCAAAGACTCATGTAGATGAAAGGCCACTGCAGGATAGTGAGCAGGGAGTGACCTGATCTCCCTCAGATTTTACAAAGGACACACTGGTTGTTCTATTGAAAATCCACTGAAGATGAACTCCATTTTCTCTGGCAAAGACAGAAGCAGGGATACTGGATATGAGGCTACTAAAGGCAAGACAAGATGGCGGTGCAGACCAATGTGGTTGTAGTAGGGGTTGGGAGAAATGACTAGATTCTAGATATTTTGAAAGTAGAGTTTGCAGAATTCATTGCTGAGGTAGATGTCAGAGGGTAGGTAATGCTGGGCATCCACAACAGGATGACTTCAAGGTTTTGGACTGAGCTAACTGGAGAGATGGAGTTTTAGTGGGAGTAAGCTGAGAATTGAGAGAGAAAAATCTTCTTTAGTGAGAGTGTTTGGTGGCAGCACAGATAAGGTAGAGAAGGCTCAGCCCAGCTCAGAACTAGAAAGACAATGGTTGGTTGTGTCAGTTCAATCTGAATTACTCTTTTCCTCTTCCCCTGGAAGTTTATCTCATCCTAAATGACTCAGAATTGATAGACAAAAATGGACCACTGTAGTCATCAGGCAAAAGAAATTCTAGGCAAAGACAAGCTGAACTCCTGGCCTGAAAACCTAGTGCATATGGCTAGAAGGAAGTTCATGAGAACTTTTTCCTAAGCTGAACAAAGTTGGATTTTGTATTTACTCTGTGTAGCTATAATTGTTAACATGTATGTTAGATATTATTAAGTGCTTTCCTTCTTTCCAAGATAAGAATGCTGCTATTCATATGGTATTGGCATCAAAACAGACTGGTAGACCAATGGTACAGAATAGAGGACATAGAGACTAACCCACAAAAGTACAATTATCTTATATTAGACAAAGGTGCCAAAAACATGCATTGGAGAAAAGATAGCCTCTTCAACAAATGGT